CTGTATTCAAGCCATTGCAAGGAAATCCGGCCTCCTTTCAAGTTAGGGCTTCTCGCTTTATATTCCACTTGAGGCAGCAAACTCGGGGTCCCTCCAACATACCTATTGCTGAGAGAAGCCTCCTCTTGAGGTGCTTCTGGAAAGTTGGCATACGTCTTGAGCCTAAGCCAGGGATTCAGCTCTCATCTCGAGACGATTTGTGGTACACGGAGCATTCCTCGAGTTGCTGTGCTGAAGTTGGTGTTCCTCTAGTCTAGGGAGAGTGTTTGCGGGGCATCTCTGGAGTTGCCTGAAGGAAGTCTAGCCAGTTGTCTTGTTTAATGGGGAACTGGGGATGGCTCTGGAGTCAATGCAGGGGAATCGGGCCACATCTCGGGTTGATTTGGGGCACATGGAGCTGCTTTGCGTTGCTGGGGTGACCTCAGGGTCCGTCTATACTTGTGACAGAGTTCTTGGGGAATGTCTCGAGAACCATTAAGCAAGTCGAAGCTCCTGACTTGTTTGATGGGGATCACGGGAATACTCTGCATGCACTGCAGGGAATCAGGACTCATCTCGCATCTAGGGGGAAGTCTCACGGTTTCTCTCAAGTTGCGCGGGGGACCTGGGGTATCTTCTCGAGTTACGGCGGGGATGGCCCCTCAAAGCCCGTGTTTATTCAGTGCCATCAGGACTCCTGTCTAGTAACGAGGGACACCTCAGGAATCTCTTCGAGGCTTGGCAGGTCAAAACGTATGCTTCTCGAGGTGAGGCAGGGCAACCAATGTCCCTTTCCAGTAGCCAGAGTAATTTTGGGATTCCTATCAATATTCAAGACGAGTCAGGCATCATCACCTTTTGAAGCAGTGAACTCCGCGTGCCTCTCGAAGTGTCAACTGGATGTGAGGCATTCCGTCAAAATGATGCAGGGACCTAGAGCTTTCTCTAAGGTCTCCACAGGGGATTCAGACATTCCTTCATGCTGTGAGATGAAAGACGAGCCTGTATCCAAGCCACTGCAAGGAAATTCGGCCTCCTTTCAAGTTAGGGCTTCTGGCTGTATATTCCATTTGAGGCAGCAAACTCGGGGTCCCTCCCAAATATCTATTGCTGAGAGAAGCCTCCTCTTGAGGTGCTTCTGGAAAGTTGGCATACGTCTTGAGCCTAAGCCATGGAATCAGCTCTCACCTCGAAACGATTTGGGGTACACGGAGCATTCCTCGAGTTGCTGTGCTGAAGTTCGTATTCCTCTAGTCTTGGGACAGTGTTCTCTGGGCATCTCTCGAGTTCCCTGAAGGAAGTCAAGCCACTGGTGGTGTTTAATGGGCTACGGGGGATGGCTCTGGAGTCAATGCATGGGAATCGGGCCTCAACGCGAGTTGATGTGGGGTACTTGAAGCTGCTTTGCGTTGCTGGGGTGATGTCAGGGTCTGTCTAGACTTGTGACAGTGTTCCTGGGGACTCTCTCGAGATCCATTAAGCAATTCGAAGCTGCTGACTTGCTTGATTGGGATCACGGGAATGCTCTGCATGGACTGCAGGGAATCAGGCCTCATCTCGCATCTAGGGGAAGTCTCATGGTTTTTCTCGAGTTGCGGCGGGACCTGGGGTAAGTTCTCGAGTTATGGCGGGCATGGCCCTTGAAAACACGTGTTTATTCAGTGACGTCATGACTCCTGTCTAGCAATGAGGGACACCTCAGGAATCTCTTCGAGCCTTGGCAGGGCAAAAGGGATGCTTCTCGAGGTGAGGCAGGGCACACAAGAACCCTTTCCTGTAGCGACAGTGATTTTGGGATTCCTATCAATGATCAGGAGGGGTCAGGCATCGTCACATTTGAAGCAGTGAACTCCGTGTGCCTCCCGAGGTGTCAACGGGATGTGAGGCAATCCGTCAAAATGAGGCAGGCACCTAGGGCTTTTGCAAAGGTCTCGACAGGGGATTCAGACAATCCTTCCGGTTGTGAGATGAAAGACGAGCCTGTATCCAAGCCACTGCAAGGAAATCCGTCCTCCTTTCAAGTTAGGGCTTCTCGTGTATATTCCACTTGAGGCAGCAAACTCGGGGTCCCTCCCACATACCTAGTGCTGAGAGAAGCCTCCTCTTGAGGTGCTTCTGGAAAGTTGGCATACGTCTTGAGCCTAAGCCATGGAATCAGCTCTCACCTCGAAACGATTTGGTGTACACGGAGCATTCTTCCAGTTGCTGTGCTGAAGTTCGTATTCCTCTAGACTTGGGACAGTGTTCTCAGGGCGTCTCTGGAGTTGCCTGAAGGAAGTCAAGCCACTTGTGGTGTTTAATGTGGTACGGGGGATGGCTCTGGAGTCAATGCAGGGGAATCGGGCCGCATCGCGGGTTGATGTGGCGTACTTGGAGCTGCTTTACATTGCTGGGTTGACCTCAGGGTCTGTCTAGACTTGTGACAGTGTTCCTGGGGACTTTCTCGAGTTCGATTAAGCAAGTCGAAGCTCCTGACTTGCTTGATGGGGATCATGGGAATGCTCTGCATGGAATGCAGGGAATCAGGCCTCATCTCGCATCTAGGGGAAGTCTCATGGTTTTTCTCGAGTTGCGGCGGGACCTTGGGTATGTTCTCGAGTTACGGCGGGGATGGCCCTTCAAAACACGTGTTTATTTAGTGACGTCAGGACTCCTGTCTAGTAACGAGAGACACCTCAGGAATCTCTTCGAGGCTTGGCAGGCAAAAGGGATGCTTCTCGAGGTGAGGCAGGGCACCCAAGAACCCTGTCCTGTAGCTACAGTGATTTTGGGATTCCTATCAATGTTGAAGAGGAGTCAGGCATCATCACATTTTGAAGCAGTGAACTCGGTGTGCCTCTCGAGGTGTCAACGCGATGTGAGACATATCTTCAAAATGAGGCAGGGACCTAGGGCTTTCTCTAAGGTCTCCACAGAGGATTCAGACATTCCTTCCGGTTGTGAGATGAAAGACGAGCCTGTATTCAAGACACTGCAAGGAAACCCGGCCTCCTTTCAAGTTAGGGCTTCTCGCTGCATATTCCACTTGAGGCAGCAAACTGGGGGTCCCTCCAACATACCTATTGCTGAGAGAAGCCTCCCCTTGAGGTGCTTCTGGAAAGTTGGCATACGTCTTGAGCATAAGCCAGGGAATCAGCTCTCATCTCGAGACGATTTGGGGTACACGGAGCATTCCTCGAGTTGCTGTGCTGAAGACGGTGTTCCTCTAGACTTGGGACAGTGTTCTCAGGGCATCTCTGGAGTTGTCTGAAGGAAGTCAAGCCACTGGTGGTGTTTAATGGGGAACGGGGGATGGCTCTGGAGTCAATGCAGGGGAATCGGGCATTATCTCGAGTTGATGTGGGGCACATGGTGCTGCTTTGCGTTGATGGGGTGACCTCAGGATCGGTCTAGACATGTGATAGTATTCTTGGGGACTCTCTCGAGATCCATTAAGCAAGTCGAAGGTCCTGACTTATTTGATGGGGATCATGGAATTGCTCTGCATGCACTGCAGGAGAATCGGGCCTCATCTCGCCACTAGGGGAAAGTCTCATGGTTTTTCTCGACTTGCGGCTGGGACCTGGGGTATGTACTCCGGTTACGGCGGTGATGGCCCTTAAAAACTCGTGTTTATTCAGTGACGTCAGGACTCCTGTCCAGTAACGAGGGACAGCTCAGGAATCTCTTCGTGGCTTGGCAGGCACAAGGGACGCTTCTCGAGGTGACGCAGGGCACCCAAGGAACCTTTCAAATAGCCACAGGGATTTTGTGATTCCTATCAATATTCAAGAGGAGTCAGGCATCGTCAGCTTTTGAAGCAGTGAACTGCGCGTGACTCTCGAGGTGTCAACGGGATGTGAGGCATTCCGTCAAAATGAGGCAGGGACCTAGGGCTTTCTCTAAGGTCTCCACAGGGGATTCAGACATCTCTTCCTGCTGTGAGATGAAAGATGAGCCTGTATTCAAGACACTGCTAGGAAACCGGCCTCCATTCTAGTTAGTGCTTCTCGCTGTATATTCCATTTGAGGCAGCAAACTCGGGTTCCCTCCCACATACCTATTGCTGAGAGAAGCCTCCTCTTGAGGTGCTTCTGGAAAGTTGGCATACGTCTTGAGCCTAAGCCAGGGAATCAGCTCTCAACTCGAGAAGATTTGGCATACAGGAAGCATTCCTCGAGTTGCTGTGCTAAAGTAGGTGTTCCTCTAGACTTGGGACAGTGTTCTCGGGGCATCTCTGGAGTTGTCTGAAGGAGGTCAAGCCACTGGTGGTGTTTAATGCGGAACGGCAGATGGCTCTGGAGTCAATGCAGGGGAATCGGACCTCATCTCAAGTTGATTTGGGGCACATGGAGCTGCTTTGCGTTGCTGGGGATACCTCAGGGTCCGTCTAGACATGTGACAGTGTTCTTGGGGAATGTCTCGAGATCCATTAAGCAAGTCGAAGCTCCTGACTTGTTTGATGGGGATCACGGAATTGCTCTGCATGCACTGCAGGAGAATCGGGCCTCATCTCGCCTCTAGGCGGAAGTCTCATGGTTTTTCTCGAGTTGCGGCGGGGACCTGGGGTATATACTCGAGTTACGGCGGCGATGGCCCTTCAAAACACGTGTTTATTCAGTGACGTCAGGACTCCTGTCCAGTAACGAGGGACAGCTCAGGAATCTCTTCGAGGCTTGCCGGGGCACAAGGGACGCTTCTTGAGATGAGGCAGGGCACCCAAGGAACCTTTCCAATAGCCACAGGGATTTTGGGATTCCTATCAATATTCAAGAAGAGTCAGGCATCGTCACCTTTTGAAGCAGTGAACTCCGCGTGCCTCTCGTGGTGTCAACGGGATGTGAGGCATTCCGTCACAATGAGGCAGGGACCTAGGACTTTCTCAAAGATCTTCACAGGGGATTCAGACATCCCTTCCTGTTGTGAGATGAAAGACGGGCCTGTATACAAGACACTGCAATGAAATCCGGCCTCCATTCAAGTTAGGGCTTCTCGCTGTATATTCCACTTTAGGCAGCAAACTCGGGGTCCCACGAACATACCTATTGCTGAGAGAAGCCTCCTCTTGAGGTGCTTCTGGAAAGTTGGCATACGTCTTGAGCCTAAGCCAGGGAATCAGCTCTCATCTCGAGACGATTTGTGGTACACGGGGCATTCCTCGAGTTGCTGTGCTGAAGTTGGTGTTCCTCTAGTCTTGGGACAGTGTTCTCGGGGCATCTCTGGAGTTGTCTGAAGGAAGACAAGCCAGTGGTCTTGTTTAATGGGGAACTGGGGATGGCTCTGGAGTCAATGCATGGGAATCGGACCTCATCTCGAGTTGATGTGGGGTACTTGCAGCTACTTTGCATTGCTGGGGTGACCTCAGGGTCTGTCTAGACTTGTGACAGTGTTCATGGGGACTTTCTCGAGTTCAATTAAGCAAGTCGAAGCTCCTGACTTGCTTGATAGGGATCAAGGGAATGCTCTTCATGGACTGCAGGGAATCAGGCCTCATCTCGCCTCTAGGGGAAGTCTCATGGTTTTACTCGAGTTGCGGCGCGAACTGGGGTATGTTCTCGAGTTACGGCGGGGAAGGCCCTTCAAAACACGTGTTTATTCAGTGACGTCAGGACTCCTGTCTAGTAACGAGAGACACCTAAGTAATCTCTTCGAGGCTTGGCAGGGCAAAAGGGATGATTCTCGAGGTGAGGCAGGGCACCAAAGAACCCTGTCCTGTAGCTACATTGATTTTGGGATTCCTATCAATGTTCAGGAGGAGTCAGGCATCGTCACATTTTGAAGCAGTGAACTCCGTGTGCCTCTCGAGGTGTCAACGGGATGTGAGACATTCCGTCAAAATGAGGCAGGGACTTAGGGCTTTCTCTAAGGTCTCCACAGGGGATTCAGACATCCCTTCCTGTTGTGAGATGAAAGACGAGCCTGTATTCAACACACTGCCAGGAAATCCGGCCTCCTTTCAAGTTAGGGCTTCTCACTGTATATTCCACTTGAGGCAGCAAACTCGGGTTCCCTCCCACATACCGATTGCTGAGAGAAGCCTCCTCTTGAGGTGCTTCTGGAAAGTTGGTATACGTCTTGAGCCTAAGCCTGGGAATCAGCTCTCACCTCGAAACGATTTGTGGTACACGGGGCATTCCTCGAGTTGCTGTGCTGAAGTTGGTGTTCCTCTAGACTTGGAACAGTGTTCTTGGGGCATCTCTGTAGTTGCCTGAATGAAGTCAAGCCAGTGTTGGTGTTTAATGTGGTACGGGGGATGGCTCTTGAGTTAATGCCGGAGAATCGGGCCTCATCTCGAGTTGATGTGGGGCACTTGGAGCTGCTTTGCATTGCTGGGGTGACCTCAGGGTCTGTCTAGACTTGTGACAGTGTTCCTGGGGACTTTCTCGAGTTCGATTAAGCAAGTCGAAGCTCCTGACTTGCTTGATGGGGATCACGGGAATGCTCTGCATGGACTGCAGGGAATCAGGCCTCATCTCGCCTCTAGGGGAAGTCTCATGGTTTTACTCGAGTTGCGGCGGGACCTGGGGTATGTTTTCGAGTTATGGCGGGGATGGCCCTTCAAAACACGTGTTTATTCAGTGACGTCAGTTCTCCTGTCTAGTAACGAGGGACACATCAGGAATCTCTTCGAGGCTTGGCAGGGCAAAATGCATGCTTCTCGAGGTGAGGCAGGGCACACAAGAACCCTTTCCAGTAGCCACAGTGATTTTGGGATTCCTATCAATGTTCAGGAGGAGACAGGCATCGTCACATTTTGAAGCAGTGAACTCCGTGTGCCTCTCGAGGTGTCAACGGGATGTGAGGCATTCCTTCAAAATGAGGAAGGGACCTAGGGCTTTCTCTAAGGTCTCCACAGGGGATTCAGACAACCCTTCCTGTTGTGAGATGAAAGACGAGCCTGTATTCAAGACACTGCAAGGAAATCCGGCCTCCTTTCAAGTTAGGGCTTCTCACTGTATATTCCACTTGAGGCAGCAAAGTGGAGGTCCCTCCAACATACCTATTGCTGAGAGAATCCTCCGCTTGAGGTGCTTCTGGAAAGTTGGCATACGTCTTGAACCTAAGCCAGGGAATCAGCTCTCATCTCGAGACGATTTGGGGTACACGGCGCATTCCTCGAGTTGCTGTGCTGAAGTTGGTGTTCCTCTAGACTTGGGACAGTGTTCTCCGGGCATCTCTGGAGTTGCCTGAAGGAAGTCAAGCCACTGGTCGTGTTTAGTGGGGAACGTGGGATGGATCTAGGGTCAATGCAGGGGAATCTGCCATCATCCCGAGTTGATTTGGGGCACATTGTGCTGCTTTGCGTTGATGGGGTGACCTCAGGATCCGTCTAGACATGTGACAGTATTCTTGTGGACTGTCTCGAGATCCATTAAGCAAGTTGAAGGTCCTGACTAGTTTGATGGGGATCACGGAATTGCTCTGCATGCACTGCAGGAGAATCGGGCCTCATCTCGCCTCTAGGGGAAAGTCTCATGGTTTTTCTCGACTTGCGGCGGGGACCTGGGGTATGTACTCGGCTTACGGCGGGGATGGCCCTTCAAAACTCGTGTTTATTCAGTGACGTCAGGACTCCTGTCCAGTAACGAGGGGCAGCTCAGGAATCTCTTCGAGGCTTGGCAGTGCACAAGGGACGCTTCTCGAGGTGAGACAGGGCACCCAAGGAACCTTTCCAATAGCCACATGGATTTTGGGATTCCTATCAATATTCAAGGGGAGTCAGGCATCGTCACATTTTGAAGCACTGAACTCCGCTTGCCTCTCGAGGTGACAACGCGATGTGAGGCATTCCGTCAAAATGAGGCAGGGACCTAGAGCTTTCTCTAACGTCTCCACAGGGGATTCATACATCCCTTCTTGCTGTGAGATGAAAGACGATCCTGTATTCAAGCCACTGCAAGGAAATCCGGCCTCGTTTCAATTTAGGGCTTCTCGCTATATATATCATTTGAGGCAGCAAACTCGGGGTCCCAAGAACATACCTATTGCTGAGAGAAGCCTCCTCTTGAGGTGCTTCTGGAAAGTTGGCATACGTCTTGAGCCTAAGCCAGGGATTCAGCTCTCATCTCGAGACGATTTGTGGTACACGGATCATTCCTCTAGTTGCTGTGCTGAAGTTGGTGTTCCTCTAGTCTTGGGACAGTTTTCTCGGGGCATCTCTGGAGTTGCCTGAAGGAAGTCAAGCCAGTGGTCTTGTTTAATGGGGAACTGGGGATGGCTCTGGAGTCAATTCAGGGGAATCGGGCCACATTTCGGGTTGATTTGGGGCACATGGAGCTGCTTTGCTTTGCTGGGGTGACCTCAGGGTCCTTCTAGACTTGTGACAGTGTTCTTGGGGACTGTCTCGAGATCCTTTAAGCAAGTCGAAGCTCCTGACTTGTTTGATGGGGATCACGGGAATACCCTGCATGCACTGCAGGGAATCAGGACTCATCTCGCATCTTGGGGGAAGTCTCATGGTTTCTCTCAAGTTGCGCTGGGGACCTGGGGTATCTTCTCGAGTTTCGGCGGGGATGGCCCCTCAAAACCCGTGTTTATTCAGTGCCGTCAGGACTCCTGTCTAGTAACGAGGGAAACCTCAGGAATCTCTTCGAGGCTTGGCAGGTCAAAAGGTATGCTTCTCGAGGTGAGGCAGGGCACCCCAGGACCCTTTCCAGTAGCCACAGTGATTTTTTGATTCCTATCAATATTCAAGAGGAGTCAGGCATCGTCACCTTTTGAAGAAGTGAACTCCGTGTGCCTCTCGAGGTGACAACGGGATGTGAGGCATTCCCTCAAAATGAGGCAGGGACCTAGAGCTTTCTCTAAGGTCTCCACAGGGGATTCAGACATCCCTTCATGCTGTGAGATGAAAGACGAGCCTGTATTCAAGCCACTGCAAGTAAATCCGTCCTCCTTTCAAGTTAGGGCTTCTCGTGTATATTCCACTTGAGGCAGCAAACTCGGGGTCCCTCCCACATACCTACTGCTGAGAGAAGCCTCCTCTTGAGGTGCTTCTGAAAAGTTGGCATACGTCTTGAGCCTAAGCCATGGAATCAGCTCTCACCTCGAAACGATTTGGGGTACACGGAGCATTCTTCCAGTTGCTGTGCTGAAGTTCGTATTCCTCTAGACTTGGGACAGTGTTCTCAGGGCATCTCTGGAGTTGCCTGAAGGAAGTCAAGCCACTTGTGGTGTTTAATGTGGTACGGGGGATGGCTCTGGAGTCAATGCAGGGGAATCGGGCCTCATCGCGGGTTGATGTGGCGTACTTGGAGCTGCTTTACATTGCTGGGTTAACCTCAGGGTCTGTCTAGACTTGTGACAGTGTTCCTGGGGACTTTCTCGAGTTCGATTAAGCAAGTCGAAGCTCCTGACTTGCTTGATGGGATCATGGGAATGCTCTGCATGGATTGCAGGGAATCAGGCCTCATCTCGCATCTAGGGGAAGTCTCATGGTTTTTCTCGAGTTGCGGCGGGACCTTGGGTATGTTCTCGAGTTACGGCGGGGATGGCCCTTCAAAACACATGTTTATTCAGTGACGTCAGGACTCCTGTCTAGTAACGAGAGACACGTCAGGAATCTCTTCGAGGCTTGGCAGGCAAAAGGGATGCTTCTCGAGGTGAGGCAGGGCACCCAAGAACCCTGTCCTGTAGCTACAGTGATTTTGGGATTCCTATCAATGTTGAAGAGGAGTCAGGCATCATCACATTTTGAAGCAGTGAACTCCGTGTGCCTCTCGAGGTGTCAACGCGATGTGAGACATTCCTTCAAAATGAGGCAGGGACGTAGGGCTTTCTCTAAGGTCTCCACAGAGAATTCAGACATTCCTTCCGGTTGTGAGATGAAAGACGAGCCTGTATTCAAGACACTGCAAGGAAACCCGGCCTCCTTTCAAGTTAGGGCTTCTCGCTGCATATTCCACTAGAGGCAGCAAACTGGGGGTCCATCCAACATACCTATTGCTGAGAGAAGCCTCCCCTTGAGGTGCTTCTGGAAAGTTGGCGTACGTCTTGAGCCTAAGCCAGGGAATCAGCTCTCATCTCGAGACGATTTGGGGTACACGGAGCATTCCTCGAGTTGCTGTGCTGAAGATGGTGTTTCTCTAGACTTGGGACAGTGTTCTCAGGGCGTCTCTGGAGTTGCCTGAAGGAAGTCAAGCCACTGGTCGTGTTTAATGTGGAAGGGGGGATGGCTCTGGAGTCAATGCAGGGGAATCGGGCATTATCTCGAGTTCATTTGGGGCACATGGTGCTGCTTTGCCTTGATGGGGTGACCTCAGGATCCGTCTAGACATGTGACAGTGTTCTTGGGGACTGTCTCGAGATCCATTAAGCAAGTCGAAGCTTCTGACTTGTTTGATGGGGATCACGGAATTGCTCTGCATGCACTGCAGGAGAATCGGGCCTCATCTCGCCTCTAGGGGAAAGTCTCATGGTTTTTCTCGAATTGCGGCGGGGACCTGGGGTATGTACTCGGGTTACGGCGGCGATGGAACTTCAAAACACATGTTTATTCAGTGACGTCAGAACTCCTGTAAAGTAACGAGGGACAGCTCAGGAATCTCATCGAGGCTTGGCAGGGCACAAGGGACGCTTCTCCACTTGAGGCAGGGCTCCCAAGGAACGTTTAAAATAGCCACAGGGATTTTGGGATTCCTATCAATATTTTAGAGGAGTCAGGCATCGTCACCTTTTGAAGCAGTGAACTCCGCGTGACTCTGGAGGTGACATCGGGATGTGAGGCATTCCGTCAAAATGAGGTAGGGACCTATAGCTTTCTCTAAGGTCTCCACAGGGGATTCAGACATCCCTTCATTCTGTGAGATGAATGACGAGCCTGTATTCAAGCCACTGCAAGGAAATCCGGCCTCCTTTCAAGTTAGGGCTTCTCGCTGTATATTCCACTTGAGGCAGCAAACTCGAGGTCCCTCCAACATACCTATTGTTGAGAGAATCCTCCTCTTGAGGTGCTTCTGGAAAGTTGGCATACGTCTTGAGCCTAAGCCAGGGATTCAGCTCTCATCTCGAGACGATTTGTGGTACACGGAGCATTCCTCGAGTTGCTGTGCTGAAGTTGGTGTTCCTCTAGTCTTGGGAGAGTGTTTGCGGGGCATCTCTGGAGTTGCCTGAAGGAAGTCTAGCCAGTTGTCTTGTTTAATGGGGAACTGGGGATGGCTCTGGAGTCAATGCAGGGGAATCGGGCCACATCTCGGGTTGATTTGGGGCTCATGGAGCTGCTTTGCGTTGCTGGGGTGACCTCAGGGTCCGTCTAGACTTGTGACAGTGTTCTTGGGGACTGTCTCGAGATCCATTAAGCAAGTCGAAGCTCCTGACTTCTTTGATGGGGATCACGGGAATACTCTGCATGCACTGCAGGGAATCAGGACTCATCTCGCATCTAGGGGGAAGTCTCACGGTTTCTCTCAAGTTGCGCGGGGGACCTGGGGTATCTTCTCGAGTTACGACGGGGATGGCCCCTCAAAACCCGTGTTTATTCAGTGCCGTCAGGACTCCTGTCTAGTAACGAGGGACAACTCAGGAATCTCTTCGAGGCTTGGCAGGTCAAAAGGTATGCTTCTCGAGGTGAGGCAGGGCAACCAATGTCCCTTTCCAGTAGCCACAGTGATTTTGGGATTCCTATCAATATTCAAGACGAGTCAGGCATCATCACCTTTTGAAGCAGTGAACTCCGCGTGCCTCTCGAAGTGTCAACTGGATGTGAGGCATTCCGTCAAAATGATGCAGGGACCTAGACCTATCTCTAAGGTCTCCACAGGGGATTCAGACATCCCTTCATGCTGTGAGATGAAAGACGAGCCTGTATCCAAGCCACTGCAAGGAAATCCGGCCTCCTTTCAAGTTAGGGCTTCTCGCTGTATATTCCACTTGAGGCAGCAAACTCGGGGTCCCTCCCAAATACCTATTGCTGAGAGAAGCCTCCTCTTGAGGTGCTTCTGGAAAGTTGGCATACGTCTTGAGCCTAAGCCATGGAATCAGCTCTCACCTCGAAACGATTTGGGGTACACGGAGCATTCCTCGAGTTGCTGTGCTGAAGTTCGTATTCCTCTAGACTTGGGACCGTGTTCTCGAGGCATCTCTCGAGTTGCCTGAAGGAAGTCAAGCCACTGGTGGTGTTTAATGGGGTACGGGGTATGGCTCTGGAGTCAATGCATGGGAATCGGGCCTCAACGCGAGTTGATGTGGGGTACTTGGAGCTGCTTTGCGTTGCTGGGGTGATGTCAGGGTCTGTCTAGACTTGTGACAGTGTTCCTGGGGACTCCCTCGAGATCAATTAAGAAATTCGAAGCTGCTGACTTGCTTGATTGGGATCACGGGAATGCTCTGCATGGACTGCAGGTAATCAGGCCTCATCTCGCATCTAGGGGAAGTCTCATCTTTATTCTCGAGTTGCGGCGGGACTGGGGTATGTTCTCAAGTTATGGCGGGCATGGCCCTTGAAAACACGTGTTTATTCAGTGACGTCATGACTCCTGTCTAGTAATGAGGGACACCTCAGGAATCTCTTCGAGCCTTGGCAGGGCAAAAGGGATGCTTCTCGAGGTGAGGCAGGGCACACAAGAACCCTTTCCTGTAGCCACAGTGATTTTGGGATTCCTATCAATGATCAGGAGGGGTCAGGCATCGTCACATTTGAAGCAGTGAACTCCGTGTGCCTCCCGAGGTGTCAACGGGATGTGAGGCAATCCGTCAAAATGAGGCAGGGACCTAGGGCTTTCGCTAAGGTCTCCACAGGGGATTCAGACAATCCTTCCGGTTGTGAGATGAAAGACGAGCCTGTATTCAAGACACTGCAAGGAAACCCGGCCTCCTTTCAAGTTAGGGCTTCTCGTTGCATATTCAACTTGAGGCAGCAAACTGGGGGTCCCTCCAACATAACTATTGCTGAGCGAAGCCTCCCCTTGAGGTGCTTCTGGAAAGTTGGCATACGTCTTGAGCATAAGCCAGGGAATCAGCTCTCATCTCGAGACGATTTGGGGTACACGGAGCATTCCTCGAGTTGCTGTGCTGAAGACGGTGTTCCTCTAGACTTGGGACAGTGTTCTCACGGCATCTCTGGAGTTGTCTGAAGGAAGTCAAGCCACTGGTGGTGTTTAATGGGGAACGGGGGATGGCTCTGGAGTCAATGCAGGGGAATCGGGCATTATCTCGAGTTGATGTGGGGCACATGGTGCTGCTTTGCGTTGATGGGGTGACCTCAGGATCGGTCTAGACATGTGATAGTATTCTTGGGGACTGTCTCGAGATCCATTAAGCAAGTCGAAGGTCCTGACTTGTTTGATGGGGATCATGGAATTGCTCTGCATGCACTGCAGGAGAATCGGGCCTCATCTCGCCACTAGGGGAAAGTCTCATGGTTTTTCTCGACTTGCGGCGGGGACCTGGGGTATGTACTCCGGTTACGGCGGTGATGGCCCTTAAAAACTCGTGTTTATTCAGTGACGTCAGGACTCCTGTCCAGTAACGAGGGACAGCTCAGGAATCTCTTCGAGGCTTGGCAGGCACAAGGGACGCTTCTCGAGGTGACGCAGGGCACCCAAGGAACCTTTCAAATAGCCACAGGGATTTTGTGATTCCTATCAATATTCAAGAGGAGTCAGGCATCGTCAGCTTTTGAAGCAGTGAACTGCGCGTGACTCTCGAGGTGTCAACGGGATGTGAGGCATTCCGTCAAAATGAGGCAGGGACCTAGGGCTTTCTCTAAGGTCTCCACAGGGGATTCAGACATCTCTTCCTGCTGTGAGATGAAAGATGAGCCTGTATTCAAGACACTGCTAGGAAACCGGCCTCCATTCTAGTTAGTGCTTCTCGCTGTATATTCCATTTGAGGCAGCAAACTCGGGTTCCCTCCCACATACCTATTGCTGAGAGAAGCCTCCTCTTGAGGTGCTTCTGGAAAGTTGGCATACGTCTTGAGCCTAAGCCAGGGAATCAGCTCTCAACTCGAGAAGATTTGGCATACCGGAAGCATTCCTCGAGTTGCTGTGCTAAAGTAGGTGTTCCTCTAGACTTGGGACAGTGTTCTCGGGGCATCTCTGGAGTTGTCTGAAGGAGGTCAAGCCACTGGTGGTGTTTAATGCGGAACGGCAGATGGCTCTGGAGTCAATGCAGGGGAATCGGACCTCATCTCAAGTTGATTTGGGGCACATGGAGCTGCTTTGCGTTGCTGGGGATACCTCAGGGTCCGTCTAGACATGTGACAGTGTTCTTGGGGAATGTCTCGAGATCCATTAAGCAAGTCGAAGTTCCTGACTTGTTTGATGGGGATCACGGAATTGCTCTGCATGCACTGCAGGAGAATCGGGCCTCATCTCGCCTCTAGGCGTAAGTCTCATGGTTTTTCTCGAGTTGCGGCGGGGACCTTGGGTATATACTCGAGTTACGGCGGCGATGGCCCTTCAAAACACGTGTTTATTCAGTGACGTCCGGCCTCATGTGCAGTAACGAGGGACATCTCAGGAATCTCTTCGAGGCTTGCCGGGGCACAAGGGACGCTTCTCGAGATGAGGCAGGGCACCCAAGGAACCTTTCCAATAGCCACAGGGATTTTGGGATTCCTATCAATATTCAAGAGGAGTCAGGCATCGTCACCTTTTGAAGCATTGAACTCCGCGTGCCTCTCGTGGTGTCAACGGGATGTGAGGCATTCCGTCACAATGAGGCAGGGACCTAGGGCTTTCTCAAAGGTCTTCACAGGGGATTCAGACATCCCTTCCTGTTGTGAGATGAAAGACGAGCCTGTATACAAGACACTGCAAGGAAATCCGGCCTCCATTCAAGTTAGGGCTTCTCGCTGTATATTCCACTTGAGGCAGCAAACTCGGGGTCCCACGAACATACCTATTGCTGAGAGAAGCCTCCTCTTGAGGTGCTTCTGGAAAGTTGGCATACGTCTTGAGCCTAAGCCAGGGAATCAGCTCTCATCTCGAGACGATTTGTGGTACACGGGGCATTCATCGAGTTGCTGTGCTGAAGTTGGTGTTCCTCTAGTCTTGGGACAGTGTTCTCGGGGCATCTCTGGAGTTGTCTGAAGGAAGACAAGCCAGTGGTCTTGTTTAATGGGGAACTGGGGATGGCTCTGGAGTCAATGCATGGGAATCGGGCCTCATCTCGAGTTGATGTGGGGTACTTGCAGCTGCTTTGCATTGCTGGGGTGACCTCAGGGTCTGTCTAGACTTGTGACAGTGTTCCTGGGGACTTTCTCGAGTTCAATTAAGCAAGTCGAAGCTCCTGACTTGCTTGATGGGGATCACGCGAATGCTCTTCATGGACTTCAGGGAATCAGGCCTCATCTCGCCTCTAGGGGAAATCTCATGGTTTTACTCGAGTTGCGGCGCGAACTGGGGTATGTTCTCGAGTTACGGCGGGGATGGCCCTTCAAAACACGTGTTTATTCAGTGACGTCAGGACTCCTGTCTAGTAACGAGAGACACCTCAGGAATCTCTTCGAGGCTTGGCAGGGCAAAAGGGATGCTTCTCGAGGTGAGGCAGGGCACCAAAGTACCCTGTCCTGTAGCTACAGTGATTTTGGGATTCCTATCAATGTTCAGGAGGAGTCAGGCATCGTCACATTTTGAAGCAGTGAACTCCGTGTGCCTCTCGAGGTGTCAACGGGATGTGAGACATTCCGTCAAAATGAGGCAGGGACCTAGGGCTTTCTCTAAGGTCTCCACAGGGGATTCAGACATCCCTTCCTGTTGTGAGATGAAAGACGAGCCTGTATTCAACACACTGCCAGGAAATCCGGCCTCCTTTCAAGTTAGGGCTTCTCACTGTATATTCCACTTGAGGCAGCAAACTCGGGTTCCCTCCCACATACCGATTGCTGAGAGAAGCCTCCTCTTGAGGTGCTTCTGGAAAGTTGTTATACGTCTTGAGCCTAAGCCAGGGAATCAGCTCTCACCTCGGAACGATTTGGGGTACACGGAGCATTCCTCGAGTTGCTGTGCTGAAGTTGGTGTTCCTCTAGACTTGGAACAGTGTTCTTGGGGCATCTCTGGAGTTGACTGAATGAAGTCAGGCCAGTGTTGGTGTTTAATGCGGTACGGGGGATGGCTCTTGAGTCAATACCGGAGAATCGGGCCTCATCTCGAGTTGATGTGGGGCACTTGGAGCTGCTTTGCATTGCTGGGGTGACCTCAGGGTCTGTCTAGACTTGTGACAGTGTTCCTGGGGACTCTCTGGAGATCCATTAAGCAAGTCGAAGCTCCTGACTTGCTTGATGGGGATCACGGGACTGCTCTGCATGGACTGCAGGGAATCAGACGTCATCTCGCATCTAGGGGAAGTCTCATGGTTTTTCTCGAGTTGCGGCGGGACCTGGGATATTTTCTTGAGTTATTGCCGGGATGGCCCTTCAAAACACGTGTTTATTCAGTGACGTCAGTTCTCCTTTCTAGTAACGAGGGACACATCAGGAATCTCTTCGAGGCTTGGCAGGGCAAAAGGGATGCTTCTCGAGGTGAGGCAGGGCACACAAGAACCCTTTCCTGTAGCCACAGTGATTTTGGGATTCCTATCAATATTCAGGAGGAGACAGGCATCGTCACATTTTGAAGCAGTGAACTCCGTGTGCCTCTCGAGGTGTCAACGGGATGTGAGGCATTCCGTCAAAATGAGGCAGGGACCTAGGGCTTTCTCTAAGGTCTCCACAGGGGATTCAGACATCCCTTCCTGTTGTGAGATGAAAGACGAGCCTGTATTCAAGACACTGCAAGTAAATCCGGACTCCTTTCAAGGTAGGGCTTCTCGCTGTATATTCCACTTGAGGCAGCAAAGTGGAGGTCCCTCCAACATACCTATTGCTGAGAGAATCCTCCACTTGAGGTGCTTCTGGAAATTGGCATATGTCGTGAACCTAAGCCAGGGAATCAGCTCTCATCTCGAGACGATTTGGGGTACACGGCGCATTCCTCGAGTTGCTGTGCTGAAGTTGGTGTTCCTCTAGACTTGGGACAGTGTTCTCCGGGCATCTCTGGAATTGCCTGAAGGAAGTCAAGCCACTGGTCGTGTTTAATGTGGAACGGGTGATAGCTCTAGGGTCAATGCAGGGGAATCTGCCATCATCCCGAGTTGATTTGGGGCACATTGTGCTGCTTTGCGTTGATGGGGTGACCTCAGGATCCGTCTAGACATGTGACAGTATTCTTGTGGACTGTCTCGAGATCCATTAAGCAAGTCGAAGGTCCTGACTTGTTTGATGGGGATCACGGAATTGCTCTGCATGCACTGCAGGAGAATCGGGCCTCATCTCGCCTATAGGGGAAAGTCTCATGGTTTTTCTCGACTTGCGGCGGGGACCTGGGGTATGTACTCGGGTTACGACGGGGATGGCCTTCAAATCTCGTGTTTATTCAGAGACGTCAGGACTCCTGTCCAGTAACGAGGGGCAGCTCAGGAATCTCTTCGAGGCTTGGCAGTGCACAAGGGACGCTTCTCGAGGTGAGGCAGGGCACCCAAGGAACCTTTCCAATAGCCACATGGATTTTGGGATTCCTATCAATATTCAAGAGGAGTCAGGCATCGTCACCTTTTGAAGCACTGAACTCCGCGTGCCTCTCGAGGTGACAACGGGATGTGAGGCATTCCCTCAAAATGAGGCAGTGACCTAGAGATTTCTCTAAGGTCTCCACAGGGGATTCAGACATCCCTTCATGCTGTGAGATGAAAGACGAGCCTGTATTCAAGCCACTGCAAGGAAATCCGTCCTCCTTTCAAGTTAGGGCTTCTCGTGTATATTCCACTTGAGGCAGCAAACTCGGGGTTCCTCCCACATAACTACTGCTGAGAGAAGCCTCCTCTTGAGGTGCTTCTGAAAAGTTGGCATACGTCTTGAGCCTAAGCCATGGAAGCAGCTCTCACCTCGAAACAATTTGTGGTACACGGAGCATTCTTCGAGTTGCTGTGCTGAAGTTCGTATTCCTCTAGACTTGGGACAGTGTTCTCAGGGCATCTCTGGAGTTGCCTGAAGGAAGTCAAACCACTTTTGGTGTTTAATGTGGTACGGGGGATGGCTCTGGAGTCAATGCAGGGGAATCGGGCCTCATCGCGGGTTGATGTGGGGTACTTGGAGCTGCTTTACATTGCTGGGGTGACCTCAGGGTCTGTCTAGACTTGTGACAGTGTTCCTAGGGACTTTCTCGAGTTCGATTAAGCAAGTCGAAGCTCCTGACTTGCTTGATGGGGATCATGGGAATGCTCTGCATGGACTGCAGGGAATCAGGCCTCATCTCGCATCTAGGGGATGTCTCATGGTTTTACTCGAGTTGCGGCGGGACCTGGGGTATGTTCTCGAGTTACGGCGGGGATGGCCCTTCAAAACACGTGTTTATTCAGTGACGTCAGGACTCCTGTCTAGTAACGAGAGACACCTCAGGAATCTCTTCGAGGCTTGGCAGGCAAAGGGATGCTTCTCGAGGTGAGGCAGGGCACACAAGAACCCTGCCCTGTAGCTAAAGTGATTTTGGGATTCCTATCAATGTTCAAGAGGGGTCAGGCATCATCACATTTTGAAGCAGTGAACTCTGTGTGCCTCTCGAGGTGTCAACGGGATGTGAGACATTCCTTCAAAATGAGGCAGGGACCTAGCGCTTTCTCTAAGGTCTCCACAGGCGATTCAGACATTCCTTCCGGTTGTGAGATGAAAGACGAGCCTGTATTCAAGACACTGCAAGGAAATCCGGCCTCCTTTCAAGTTAGGGCTTCTCGCTGTATATTCCTTTTGAGGCAGCAAACTGGGGGTCCCTCCAACATACCTATTGCTAAGAGAAGCCTCCCCTTGAGGTGCTTCTGGAAAGTTGGCATATGTCTTGAGCCTAAGCCAGGGAATCAGCTCTCATCTCGAGACGATTTGGGGTACACGGAGCATTCCTCGAGTTGCTGTGCTGAAGATGGTGTTCCTCTAGACTTGGGACAGTGTTCTCAGGGCGTCTCTGGAGTTGCCTGAAGGAAGTCAAGCCACTGGTCGTGTTTAATGTGGAACGGGGGATGGCTCTGGAGTCAATGCAGGGGAATCGGGCATTATCTCGAGTTGATTTGGGGCACATGGTGCTGCTTTGCCTTGATGGGGTGACCTCAGGATCCGTCTAGACATGTGACAGTGTTCTTGGGGACTGTCTCGAGATCCATTAAGCAAGTCGAAGCTTCTGACTTGTTTGATGGGGATCACGGAATTGCTCTGCATGCACTGCAGGAGAATCGGGCCTCATCTCGCCTCTAGGCGGAAGTCTCATGGTTTTTCTCGAGTTGCGGCGGGGAACTGGGGTATGTACTCGAGTTACGGCGGGGATGGCCCTTCAAAACACGTGTTTATTCAGTGACGTCAGGACTCCTGTCCAGTAACGAGGGACAGCTCAGGAATCTCTTCGAGGCTTGCCGGGGCACAAGGGACGCTTCTAGAGATGAGGCAGGGCACCCAAGGAACCTTTCCAATAGCCACAGGGATTTTGGGATTGCTATCAATATTCAAGAGGAGTCAGGCATCGTCACCTTTTGAAGCAGTGAACTCCGAGTGCCTCTCGTGGTGTCAACGGGATGTGAGGCATTCCGTCACAATGAGGCAGGGACCTAGGGCTTTCTCAAAGGTCTTCACAGGGGATTCAGACATCCCTTCCTGTTGTGAGATGAAAGACGAGCCTGTATACAAGACACTGCAAGGAAAGCCGGCCTCCATTCAAGTTAGGGCTTCTCGCTGTATATTCCACTTTAGGCAGCAAACTCGGGGTCCCACGAACATACCTATTGCTGAGAGAAGCCTCCTCTTGAGGTGCTTCTGGAAAGTTGGCATACGTCTTGAGCCTAAGCCAGGGAATCAGCTCTCATCTCGAGATGATTTGTGGTACACGGGGCATTCCTCGAGTTGCTGTGCTGAAATTGGTGTTCCTCTAGTCTTGGGACAGTGTTCTCGGGGCATCTCTGGAGTTGTCTGAAGGAAGACAAGCTAGTGGTCTTGTTTAATGGGGAACTGGGGATGGCTCTGGAGTCAATGCATGGGAATCGGACCTCATCTCGAGTTGATGTGGGGTACTTGCAGCTGCTTTGCATTGCTGGGGTGACCTCAGGGTCTGTCTAGACTTGTGACAGTGTTCCTGGGGACTTTCTCGAGTTCAATTAAGCAAGTCGAAGCTCCTGACTTGCTTGATGGGGATCACGCGAATGCTCTGCATGGACTGCAGGGAATCAGGCCTCATCTCGCCTCTAGGGGAAATCTCATGGTTTTACTCGAGTTGCGGCGCGAACTGGGGTATGTTCTCGAGTTAAGGCGGGGATGGCCCTTCAAAACACGTGTTTATTCAGTGACGTCAGGACTCCTGTCTAGTAACGAGAGACACCTCAGGAATCTCTTCGAGGCTTGGCAGGGCAAAAGGGATGCTTCTCGAGGTGAGGCAGGGCACCAAAGAACCCTGTCCTGTAGCCACAGTGATTTTGGGATTCCTATCAATGTTCAGGAGGAGTCAGGCATCGTCACATTTTGAAGCAGTGAACTCCGTGTGCCTCTCGAGGTGTCAACGGGATGTGAGACATTCTGTCAAAATGAGGCAGGGACCTAGGGCTTTCTCTAAGGTCTCCACAGGGGATTCAGACATCCCTTCCTGTTGTGAGATGAAAGACGAGCCTGTATTCAACACACTGCCAGGAAATCCGGCCTCCTTTCAAGTTAGGGCTTCTCACTGTATATTCCACTTGAGGCAGCAAACTTGGGTTCCCTCCCACATACCGATTGCTGAGAGAAGCCTCCTCTTGAGGTGCTTCTGGAAAGTTGTTATACGTCTTGAGCCTAAGCCAGGGAAACAGCTCTCATCTCGAGACGATTTGGGGTACACGGAGCATTCCTCGAGTTGCTGTGCTGAAGATGGTGTTCCTCTAGACTTGGGACAGTGTTCTCAGGGCATCTCTGGAGTTGTCTGAAGGAAGTCAAGCCACTGGTGGTGTTTAATGTGGAACGTGGGATGGCTCTGAGTCAATGCAGGGGATTCGGGCATCATCTCGAGTTGATGTGGGGCACATGGTGCTGCTTTGCGTTGATGGGGTGACCGCAGGATCCGTCTAGACATGTGACAGTATTCTTGGGGACTGTCTCGAGATCCATTAAGCAAGTCGAAGGTCCTGACTTGTTTGATGGGGTCACGGAATTGCTCTGCATGCACTGCAGGAGAATCGGGCCTCATCTCGCCACGAGGGGAAAGTCTCATGGTTTTTTTCGACTTGCGACGGGGACCTGGGGTATGTACTCGGGTTACGGCGGGGATGGCCCTTAAAAACTCGTGTTTATTCAGTGACGTCAGGACTCCTGTCCAGTAACGAGGTACAGCTCAGGAATCTCTTCGAGGCTTGGCAGGCACAAGGGACGCTTCTCGAGGTGAGGCAGGGCACCCAAGGAACCTTTCCAATAGCCACAGGGATTTTGTGATTCCTATCAATATTTTAGAGGAGTCAGGCATCGTCACCTTTTGAAGCAGTGAACTCCGCGTGACTCTCGAGGTGACAACGGGATGTGAGGCATTCCGTCAAAATGAGGCAGGGACCTAGAGCTGTCTCTAACGTCTCCACAGGGGATTCAGACATCCCTTCATGCTGTGAGATGAAAGACGATCCTGTATTCAAGCCACTGCAAGGAAATCCGGCCTCCTTTCAATTTAGGGCTTCTCGCTATATATTCCACTTGAGGCAGCAGACTCGGGGTCCCTCGAACATACCTATTGCTGAGAGAAGCCTCCTCTTGAGGTGCTTCTGGAAAGTTGGCATACGTCTTGAGCCTAAGCCAGGGAATCAGCTCTCATCTCGAGACGATTTGGGGTACACGGAGCATTCCTCGAGTTGCTGTGCTGAAGATGGTGTTCCTCTAGACTTGGGACAGTGTTCTCAGGGCATCTCTGGAGTTGTCTGAAGGAAGTCAAGCCACTGGTGGTGTTTAATGTGGAACGGGGGATGGCTCTGGAGTCAATGCAGGGGAATCGGGCATTATCTCGAGTTGATGTGGTGCACATGGTGCTGCTTTGCGTTGATGGGGTGACCTCAGGATCCGTCTAGACATGTGACAGTATTCTTGGTGACTGTCTCGAGATCCATTAAGCAAGTCGAAGGTCCTGACTTGTTTGATGGGGATCACGGAATTGCTCTGCATGCACTGCAGGAGAATCGGGCCTCATCTCGCCACTAGGGGAAAGTCTCATGGTTTTTCTCGACTTGCGGCGGGGACCTGGGGTATGTACTCGGGTTACAGCAGAGATGGCCCTTAAAAACTCCTGTTTATTCAGTGACGTCAGGACTCCTGTCCAGTAACGAGGGACAGCTCAGGAATCTCTTCGAGGCTTGGCAGGGCAAAAGGGACGCTTCTCGAGGTGAGGCAGGACACCCAAGGAACCTTTCAAATAGCCACAGGGATTTTGGGATTCCTATCAATATTCAAGACGAGTCAGGCATCATCACCTTTTGAAGCAGTGAACTCCGCGTGCCTCTCGAGGTGTCAACGGGATGTGAGGCAATCCGTCAAAATGAGGCAGGGACCTAGGGCTTTCTCTAAGTTCTCCACAGGGGATTCAGACATCCCTTCCGGTTGTGAGATGAAAGACGAGCCTGTATTCAAGACACTGCACGGAAATCCGGCCTCCTTTCAAGTTAGGGCTTCTTGCTGTATATTCCACTTGAGGCAGCAAAGTGGGGGTCCCTCCAACATACCTATTGCTGAGAGAATCCTCCTCTTGAGGGGCTTCTGGAAAGTTGGCATACGTCTTGAGCCTAAGCCATGGAATCAGCTCTCACCTCGAAACGATTTGGGGTACACAGAGCATTCCTCGAGTTGCTGTGCTGAAGTTCGTATTCCTCTAGACTTGGGACAGTGTTCTCGGGGCATCTCTGGATTTGCCTGAAGGAAGTCAAGCCACTGTTGGTGTTTAATGGGGTACGGGGGATGGCTCTGGAGTCAATGCATGGGAATCGGGCCTCAACGCGAGTTGATATGGGGTACTTGGTGCTGCTTTGCGTTGCTGGGGTGATGTCAGGTTCTGTCTAGACTTGTGACACTGTTCCTGGGGACAATCTCGAGATCCATTAAGAAATTCGAAGCTGCTGACTTGCTTGATTGGGATCACGGGAATGCTCTGCATGGACTGCAGGGAATCAGGCCTCATCTCGCATCTAGGGGAAGTCTCATGGTTTTTCTCGAGTTGCGGCGGGACCTGGGGTATGTTCTCGAGTTATGGCGGGCATGGCCCTTGAAAACACGTGTTTATTCAGTGACGTCATGACTCCTGTCTAGTAAAGAGGGACACCTCAGGAATCTCTTCGAGCCTTGGCAGGGCAAAAGGGATGCTTCTCGAGGTGAGGCAGGGCACACAAGAACCCTTTCCTGTAGCCACAGTGATTTTGGGATTCCTATCAATGATCAGGAGGGGTAAGGCATCGTCACATTTGAAGCAGTGAACTCCGTGTGCCTCCCGAGGTGTCAACGGGATGTGAGGCAATCCGTCAAAATGAGGCAGGGACCTAGGGCTTTCGCTAAGGTCTCCACAGGGGATTCAGACAATCCTTCCGGTTGTGAGATGAAAGACGAGCCTGTATTCAAGACACTGCAAGGAAACCCGGCCTCCTTTCAAGTTAGGGCTTCTCGTTGCATATTCCACTTGAGGCAGCAAACTGGGGGTCCCTCCAACATAACTATTGCTGAGCGAAGCCTCCCCTTGAGGTGCTTCTGGAAAGTTGGCATACGTCTTGAGCCTAAGCCAGGGAATCAGCTCTCATCTCGAGACGATTTGTGGTACACGGGGCATTCCTTGAGTTGCTGTGCTGAAGTTGGTGTTCCTCTAGTCTTGGGACAGTGTTCTCGGGGCGTCTCTGGAGTTGTCTGAAGGAAGACAAGCCAGTGGTCTTGTTTAATGGGGAACTGGGGATGGCTCTGGAGTCAATGCATGGGAATCGGGCCTCATCTCGAGTTGATGTGGGGTACTTGCAGCTGCTTTGCATTGCTGGGGTGACCTCAGGGTCTGTCTAGACTTGTGACAGTGTTCCTGGGGACTTTCTCCAGTTCAACTAAGCAAGTCGAAGCTCCTGACTTGCTTGATAGGGATCACGGGAATGCTCTTCATGGACTGCAGGGAATCAGGCCTCATCTCGCCTCTAGGGGAAGTCTCATGGTTTTACTCGAGTTGCGGCGCGAACTGGGGTATGTTCTCGAGTTACGGCGGGGATGGCCCTTCAAAACACGTGTTTATTCAGTGATGTCAGGACTCCTGTCTAGTAACAAGAGACACCTCAGGAATCTCTTCGAGGCTTGGCAGGTCAAAAGGGATGCTTCTCGAGGTGAGGCAGGGCACCCAAGAACTCTGTCCTGTAGCTACAGTGATTTTGGGATTCCTATCAATGTTCAGGAGGAGTCAGGCATCGTCACATTTTGAAGCAGTGAACTCCGTTTGCCTCTCAAGGTGTCAACGGGATGTGAGACATTCCGTCAATATGAGGCAGGGTCCTAGGGCTTTCTCTAAGGTCTCCACAGGGGATTCAGACATCCCTCCCTGTTGTGAGATGAAAGACGAGCCTGTATTCAACACACTGCCAGGAAATCCGGCCTCCTTTCAAGTTAGGGCTTCTCACTGTATATTCCACTTGAGGCAGCAAACTCGGGTTCCATCACACATACCGATTGCTGAGAGAAGCCTCCTCTTGAGGTGCTTCTGGAAAGTTGGTATACGTCTTGAGCCTAAGCCTGGGAATCAGCTCTCACCTCGAAACGATTTGTGGTACACGGAGCATTCCTCGAGTTGCTGTGCTGAAGTTGGTGTTCCTCTAGTCTTGGGACAGTGTTCTCGGGGCATCTCTGGAGTTGCCTGAAGGAAGTCAAGCCAGTGGTCTTGTTTAATGGGGAACTGGGGATGGCTCTGGAGTCAATGCAGGGGAATCGGGCCACATTTCGGGTTGATTTGGGGCACATGGAGCTGCTTTACGTTGCTGGGGTGACCTCAGGGTCCGTCTAGACTTGTGAGAGTGTTCTTGGGGACTGTCTCGAGATCCATTAAGCAAGTCGAAGCTCCTGACTTGTTTGATGGGGATCACGGGAATACCCTGCATGCACTGCAGGGAATCAGGACTCATCTCGCATCTTGGGGGAAGTCTCATGGTTTCTCTCAAGTTGCGCTGGGGACCTGGGGTATCTTCTCGAGTTACGGCGGGGATGGCCCTTCAAAACACGTGTTTATTCAGTGCCGTTAGGACTCCTGTCTAGTAAGAAGGGAAACCTCAGGAATCTCTTCGAGGCTTGGCAGGTCAAAAGGTATGCTTCTCGAGGTGAGGCAGGGCACCCAAGGACCCTTTCCAGTAGCCACAGTGATTTTTTGATTCCTATCAATATTCAAGACGAGTCAGGCATCGTCACCTTTTGAAGCAGTGAACTCCGCGTGCCTCTCGAGGTGACAACGGGATGTGAGGCATTCCCTCAAAATGAGGCAGGGACCTAGAGCTTTGTCTAAGGTCTCCACAGGGGTTTCAGACATCCCTCATGCTGTGAGATGAAAGACGAGCCTGTATTCAAGCCACTGCAAGGAAATCCGTCCTCCTTTCAAGTTAGGGCTTCTCACTGTATATTCCACTTGAGGCAGCAAACTCGGGGTCCCTCCCACATACCTACTGCTGAGAGAAGCCTCCTCTTGAGGTGCTTCTGGAAAGTTGTCATACGTCTTGAGCCTAAGCCATGGAATCAGCTCTCACCTCGAGACGATTTGGGGTACACGGAGCATTCCTCGAGTTGCTGTGCTGAAGTTCGTATTCCTCTAGATTTGGGACAGTGTTCTCAGGGCATCTCTGGAGTTGCCTGAAGGAAGTCAAGCCACTGGTGGTGTTTAATGTGGTACGTGGGATGGCTCTGGAGTCAATGCAGGGGAATCGGGCCTCATCGCGAGTTGATGTGGGGTACTTGGAGCTGCTTTACATTGCTGGGGTGACCTCAGGGTCTGTCTAGTCTTGTGACAGTGTTCCTGGGGACTTTCTCGAGTTCGATTAAGGAAGTCGAAGCTCCTGACTTGCTTGATGGGGATCATGGGAATGCTCTGCATGGACTGCAGGGAATCAGGCCTCATATCGCATCTAGGGGAAGTCTCATGGTTTTTCTCGAGTTGCGGCGGGACCTAGGGTATGTTCTTGAGTTATGGCGGGGATGGCCCTTCAAAACATGTGTTTATTCAGTGACGTCAGGACTCCTGTCTAGTAACGAGAGACACCTCAGGAATCTCTTCGAGGCTTGGCAGGCAAAAGGGATGCTTCTCGAGGTGAGGCAGGGCACCCAAGAACCCTGTCCTGTAGCTACAGTGATTTAGGGATTCCTATCAATATTCAAGAGGAGTCAGGCATCATCACATTTTGAAGCAGTGAACTCCGTGTGCCTCTCGAGGTGTCAACGGGATGTGAGACATTCCTTCAAAATGAGGCAGGGACCTAGGGCTTTCTCTAAGGTCTCCACAGAGGATTCAGACATTCCTTCCGGTTGTGAGATGAAAGACGAGCCTGTATTCAAGACACTGCAAGGAAATCCGGCCTCCTTTCAAGTTAGGGCTTTTCGCTGTATATTCCTCTTGAGGCAGCAAACTGGGGGTCCCTCCAACATACCTATTGCTGAGAGAAGTCTCCCCTTGAAGTGCTTCTGGAAAGTTGGCATACGCCTTGAACCTAAGCCAGGGAATCAGCTCTCAACTCGAGAAGATTTGGCATACAGGAAGCATTCCTCGAGTTGCTGTGCTAAAGTAGGTGTTCCTCTAGATTTGGGACAGTGTTCTCGGGGCATCTCTGGAGTTGTCTGAAGGAGGTTAAGCCACTGGTGGTGTTTAATGCGGAACGGCAGATGGCACTGGAGTCAATGCAGGGGAATCGGACCTCATCTCAAGTTGATTTGGGGCACATGGAGCTGCTTTGCGTTGCTGGGCATACCTCAGGGTCCGTCTAGACATGTGACAGTGTTCTTGGGGAATGTCTCAGGATCCATTTAGCAAGTCGTAGCTCCTGACTTGTTTGATGGGGATCACGGAATTGCTCTGCATGCACTGCAGGAGAATCGGGCCTCATCTCGCCTCTAGGCGGAAGTCTCATGGTTTTTCTCGAGTTGAGGCGGGGACCTGGGGTATGTACTCGAGTTACGGCGGCGATGGCCCTTCAAAACACGTGTTTATTCAGTGACGTCAGGACTCCTGTCCAGTAACGAGGGACAGCTCAGGAATCTCTTCGAGGCTTGCCAGGGCACAAGGGACGCTTCTCGAGATGAGGCAGGGCACCCAAGGGACCTTTCCAATAGCCACAGGGATTTTGGGATTCCTGTCAATATTCAAGAGGAGTCAGGCATCGTCACCTTTTGAAGCAGTGAACTCCGCGTGCCTCTCGTAGTGTCAACGGGATGTGAGGCATTCCGTCACAATGAGGCAGGGACCTAGGGCTTTCTCAAAGGTCTTCACAGGGGATTCAGACACCCCTTCATGCTGTGAGATGAAAGACGAGCCTGTATTCAAGCCACTGCAAGGAAATCCGGCCTCCTTTCAAGTTAGGGCTTCTCGCTGTATATTCCACTTGAGGCAGCAAAGTGGGGGTCCCTCCAATATACCTATTGCTGAGAGAAGCCTCCCCTTGAGGTGCTTCTGGAAAGTTGGCATACGTCTTGAGCCTAAGCCAGGGAATCAGCTCTCATTTCGAGACGATTTGTGGTACACGGGGCATTCCTCGAGTTGCTGTGCTGAAGTTGGTGTTCCTCTAGTCTTGGCACAGTGTTCTCGGGGCATCTCTGGAGTTGTCTGAAGGAAGACAAGCCAGTGGTCTTGTTTAATGGGGAACTGGGGATGGCTCTGGAGTCAATGCATGGGAATCGGGCCTCATCTCGAGTTGATGTGGGGTACTTGCAGCTGCTTTGCATTGCTGGGGTGACCTCAGGGTCTGTCTAGACTTGTGACAGTGTTCCTGGGGACTTTCTCGAGTTCAATTAAGCAAGTCGAAACTCCTGACTTGCTTGATGGGGATCACGCGAATGCTCTTCATGGACTGCAGGGAATCAGGCCTCATCTCGCCTCTAGGGGAAATCTCATGGTTTTACTCGAGTTGCGGCGCGAACTGGGGTATGTTCTCGAGTTACGGCGGGGATGGCCCTTCAAAACACGTGTTTATTCAGTGACGTCAGGACTCCTGTCTAGTAACGAGAGACACCTCAGGAATCTCTTCGAGGCTTGGCAGGGCAAAAGGGATGCTTCTCGAGGTGAGGCAGGGCACCAAAGAACCCTTTCCTGTAGCCACAGTGATTTTGGGATTCCTATCAATGTTCAGGAGGAGTCAGGCATCGTCACATTTGAAGCAGTGAACTCCGTGTGCCTCTCGAGGTGTCAACGGGATGTGAGGCAATCCGTCAAAATGAGGCAGGGACCTAGGGCTTTCGCTAAGGTCTCCACAGGGGATTCAGACATTCCTTCCGGTTGTGAGATTAAAGACGAGCCTGTATTCAAGACACTGCAAGGAAACCCGGCCTCCTTTCAAGTTAGGGCTTCTCACTGCATATTCCACTTGAGGCAGCAAACTGGGGGTCCCTCCAACATACCTTTTGCTGAGAGAAGCCTCCCCTTGAGGTGCTTCCGGAAAGTTGGCATACGTCTTGAGCCTAAGCCAGGGAATCAGCTCTCATCTCGAGACGATTTGGGGTACACGGAGCATTCCTCGAGATGCTGTGCTGAATATGGTCTTCCTCTAGACTTGGGACAGTGTTCTCAGGTCATCTCTGGAGTTGTCTGAAGGAAGTCAAGCCACTGGTGGTGTTTAATGTGGAACGGGGGATGGCTCTGGAGTCAATGCAGGGGATTCGGACATTATCTCGAGTTGATGTTGGGCACATGGTGCTGCTTTGCGTTGATGGGGTGACCGCAGGATCCGTCTAGACATGTGACAGTTTTTTTGGGGACTGTCTCGAGATCCATTAAGCAAGTCGAAGGTCCTGACTTGTTTGATGGGGATCACGGAATTGCTCTGCATGCACTGCAGGAGAATCGGGCCTCATCTCGCCACGAGGGGAAAGTCTCATGGTTTTTTTCGACTTGCGACGGGGACCTGGGGTATGTACTCGGGTTACAGCGGGGATGGCCCTTAAAAACTCCTGTTTATTCAGTGACGTCAGGACTCCTGTCCAGTAAGGAGGGACAGCTCAGGAATCTCTTCGAGGCTTGGCAGGCACAAGGGACGCTTCTCGAGGTGAGGCAGGGCACCCAAGGAACCTTTCAAATAGCCACAGGGATTTTGTGATTCCTACCAATATTTTAGAGGAGTCAGGCATCGTCAGCTTTTGAAGCAGTGAACTCCGCGTGACTCTCGAGGTGTCAACCGGATGTGAAGCATTCCGTCAAAATGTGGCAGGGACCTAGGGCTTTCACTACAGTCTCCACAGGGGATTCAGACATCTCTTCCTGCTGTGAGATGAAAGACGAGCCTGTATTCAAGACACTGCTAGGAAACCGGCCTCCTTTTTAGTTAGTGCTTCTCGCTGTATATTCCATTTGAGGCAGCAAACTCGGGTTCCCTCCCACATACCTATTGCTGAGAGAAGCCTCCTCTTGAAGTGCTTCTGGAAAGTTGGCATACGTCTTGAGCCTAAGCCAGGGAATCAGCTCTCATCTCGAGAAGATTTGGCATACAGGAAGCATTCCTCGAGTTGCTGTGCTAAAGTATGTGTTCCTCTAGACTAGGGACAGTGTTCTCGGGGCATCTCTGGAGTTGTCTGAAGGAGGTCAAGCCAGTGGTGGTGTTTAATGCGGAACGGCAGATGGCTCTGGAATCAATACAGGGGAATCGGACCTCATCTCATGTTGATTTGGGGCACATGGAGCTGCTTTGCGTTGCTGGGGATACCTCAGGGTCCGTCTAGACATGTGACAGTGTTCTTGGGGAATGTCTCGAGATCCATTAAGCAAGTCGAAGCTCCTGACTTGTTGGATGGGGATCACGGAATTGCTCTGCATGCAGTGCAGGAGAATCGGGCCTCATCTCGCCTCTAGGGGAAAGTTTCATGGTTTTTCTCGAGTTGCGGCGGGGACCTGGGATATGTTCTCGAGTTACGGCGGCGATGGCCCTTCAAAACACGTGTTTATTCAGTGACGTCAGGACTCCTGTCCAGTAACGAGGGACAGCTCAGGAATCTCTTCGAGGCTTGCCGGGGCACAAGGGACGCTTCTCGAGATGAGGCAGGGCACCCAAGGAACCGTTCCAATAGCCACAGTGATTTTGGGATTCGTATCAATATTCAAGAGGAGTCAGGCATCGTCACCTTTTGAAGCAGTAAACTCCGCGAGCCTCTCGTGGTGTCAACGGGATGTGAGGCATTCCGTCAAAATGATGCAGGGACCTATGGCTTTCTCTAAGGTCTTCACAGGGGATGCAGACATCCCTTCCTGTTGTGAGATGAAAGACGAGCCTGTATACAAGACACTGCAAGGAAATCCGGCCTCCTTTCAAGTTAGGGCTTCTCGCTGTATATTCCACTTGAGGCAGCAAACTCGGGGTCCCTCCCACATACCAATTCCTGAGAGAAGCCTCCTCTTGAGGTGCTTCTGGAAAGTTGGCATACGTCTTGAGCCTAAGCCAGGGAATCCGCTCTCATCTCGAGACGATTTGTGGTACACGGGGCATTCCTCGAGTTGCTGTGCTGAATTTTGTGTTCCTCTAGTCTTGGGACAGTGTTCTCGGGGCATCTCTGGAGTTGCCTGAAGGAAGAAAAGCCAGTGGTCTTGTTTAATGGGGAACTGGGGATGGCTCTGGAGTCAATGCATGGGAATCGGGCCACATCTCGTGTTTATTTGGGGCACATGGAGCTGCTTTGCGTTGCTGGGGTGACCTCAGGGTCCGTCTAGACTTGTGACAGTGTTCTTGGGGACTGTCTCGAGATCCATTAAGCAAGTCGAAGCTCCTGACTTGTTTGATGGGGATCACGGGAATACTCTGCATGCACTGCAGGGAATCAGGACTCATCTCCCATCTAAGGGGAAGTCTCATGGTTTCTCTCAAGTTGCGCGGGGGACCTGGGGTATCTTCTCGAGTTACGGCCGGGATGGCCCTTCAAAACACGTGTTTATTCAGTGCCGTCAGGACTCCTGCCTAGTAACGAGGGACAACTCAGGAATCTCTTTGAGGCTTGGCAGGGCAAAATGGATGCTTCTCGCGGTGAGGCAGGGCACACAAGAATCGTTTCCTCTAGCCACAGTGATTTTGGGATTCCTATCAATATTCAAGACGAGTGAGGCATCATCACCTTTTGAAGCAGTGACCTCCGCGTGCCTCTCGATGTGTAAACGGGATGTGAGGCATTCCTTCAAAATGAGGCAGGGACCTAGAGCTTTCTCTAAGGTCTCCACAGGGGTTTCAGACATCCCTTCATGCTGTGAGATGAAAGACGAGCCTGTATCCAAGCCACTGTAAGGAAATCCGGCCTCCTTTCAAGTTAGGGCTTCTCGCTGTATATTCCACTTGAGGCAGCAAACTCGGGGTCCCTCCCAAATACCTATTGCTGAGAGAAGCCTCCTCTTGAGGTGCTTCTGGAAAGTTGGCATACGTCTTGAGCCTAAGCCATGGAATCAGCTCTCACCTCGAAACGATTTGGGGTACACGGAGCATTCCTCGAGTTGCTGTGCTGAAGTTCGTATTCCTCTAGACTTGGGACAGTGTTCTCAGGGCATCTCTCGAGTTGCCTGAAGGAAGTCAAGCCACTGGTGGTGTTTAATGGGGTACGGGGGATGGGTCTGGAGTCAATGCATGGGAATCGGGCCTCAACTCTAGTTGATGTGGGGTAATTGGAGCTGCTTTGCATTGCTGGGGTGACCTCAGGGTCTGTCTAGACTTGTGACAGTGTTCCTGGGGACTCTCTGGAGATCCATTAAGCAAGTCGAAGCTCCTGACTTGCTTGATGGGGATCACGGGACTGCTCTGCATGGACTGCAGGGAATCAGACGTCATCTCACGTCTAGGGGAAGTCTCATGGTTTTTCTCGAGTTGCGGCGGGACCTGGGATATGTTCTTGAGTTATTGCCGGGATGGCCCTTCAAAACACGTGTTTATTCAGTGACGTCAGTTCTCCTGTCTAGTAACGAGGGACACATCAGGAATCTCTTCGAGGCTTGGCAGGGCAAAAGGGATGCTTCTCGAGGTGAGGCAGGGCACACAAGAACCCTTTCCTGTAGCCACAGTGATTTTGGGATTCCTATCAATGTTCAGGAGGAGACAGGCATCGTCACATTTTGAAGCAGTGAACTCCGTGTGCCTCTCGAGGTGTCAACGGGAAGTGAGGCATTCCGTCAAAATGAGGCAGGGACCTAGGGCTTTCTCTAAGGTCTCCACAGGGGATTCAGACATCCCTTCCTGTTGTGAGATGAAAGACGAGCCTGTATTCAAGACACTGCAAGTAAATCCGGCCTCCTTTCAAGGTAGGGCTTCTCGCTGTATATTCCACTTGAGGCAGCAAAGTGGAGGTCCCTCCAACATACCTATTGCTGAGAGAATCCTCCGCTTGAGGTGCTTCTGGAAATTGGCATACGTCGTGAACCTAAGCCAGGGAATCAGCTCTCATCTCGAGACGATTTGGGGTACACGGCGCATTCCTCGAGTTGCTGTGCTGAAGTTGGTGTTCCTCTAGACTTGGGACAGTGTTCTCCGGGCATCTCTGGAGTTGCCTTAAAGAAGTCAAGCCACTGGTCGTGTTTAATGTGGAACGGGGGATAGCTCTAGGGTCAATGCAGGGGAATCTGCCATCATCCCGAGTTGATTTGGGGCACATTGTGCTGCTTTGCGTTGATGGGGTGACCTCAGGATCCGTCTAGACATGTGACAGTATTCTTGTGGACTGTCTCGAGATCCATTAAGCAAGTCGAAGGTCCTGACTTGTTTGATGGGGATCACGGAATTGCTCTGCATGCACTGCAGGAGAATCGGGCCTCATCTCGCCTATAGGGGAAAGTCTCATGGTTTTTCTCGACTTGCGGCGGGGACCTGGGGTATGTACTCGGGTTACGACGGGGATGGCCTTCAAAACTCGTGTTTATTCAGTGACGTCAGGACTCCTGTCCAGTAACGAGGGGCAGCTCAGGAATCTCTTCGAGGCTTGGCAGTGCACAAGGGACGCTTCTCGAGGTGAGGCAGGGCACCCAAGGAACCTTTCCAATAGCCACATGGATTTTGGGATTCCTATCAATATTCAAGAGGAGTCAGGCATCGTCACATTTTGAAGCACTGAACTCCGCGTGCCTCTCGAGGTGACAACGGGATGTGAGGCATTCCCTCAAAATGAGGCAGGGACCTAGAGCTTTCTCTAAGGTCTCCACAGGGGCTTCAGACATCCCTTCATGCTGTGAGATGAAAGACGAGCCTGTATTCAAGCCACTGCAAGGAAATCCGTCCTCCTTTCAAGTTAGGGCTTCTCGTGTATATTCCACTTGAGGCAGCAAACTCGGGGTCCCTCCCACATACCTACTGCTGAGAGAAGCCTCCTCTTGAGGTGCTTCTGAAAAGTTGGCATACGTCTTGAGCCTAAGCCATGGAAGCAGCTCTCACCTCGAAACGATTTGGGGTACACGGAGCATTCTTCGAGATGCTGTGCTGAAGTTCGTATTCCTCTAGACTTGGGACAGTGTTCTCAGGGCATCTCTGGAGTTGCCTGAAGGAAGTCAAACCACTTTTGGTGTTTAATGTGGTACGGGGGATGGCTCTGGAATCAATGCAGGGGAATCGGGCCTCATCGCGGGTTGATGTGGGTTACTTGGAGCTGCTTTACATTGCTGGGGTGACCTCAGGGTCTGTCTAGACTTGTGACAGTGTTCCTAGGGACTTTCTCGAGTTCGATTAAGCAAGTCGAAGCTCCTGACTTGCTTGATGGGGATCATGGGAATGCTCTGCATGGACTGCAGGGAATCAGGCCTCATCTCGCATCTAGGGGAAGTCTCATGGTTTTACTCGAGTTGCGGCGGGTCCTGGGGTATATTCTCGAGTTACGGCGGGGATGGCCCTTCAAAAAACGTGTTTATTCAGTGACGTCAGGACTCCTGTCTAGTAACGAGAGACACCTCAGTAATCTCTTCGAGGCTTGGCAGGCAAAGGGATGCTTCTCGACGTGAGGCAGGGCACCCAAGAACCCTGTCCTGTAGCTAAAGTGATTTTGGGATTCCTATCAATGTTCAAGAAGGGTCAGGCATCATCACATTTTGAAGCAGTGAACTCTGTGTGCCTCTCGAGGTGTCAACGGGATGTGAGACATTCCTTCAAAATGAGGCAGGGAACTAGCGCTTTCTCTAAGGTCTCCACAGAGGATTCAGACATTCCTTCCGGTTGTGAGATGAAAGACGAGCCTGTATTCAAGACACTGCAAGGAAATCCGGCCTCCTTTCAAGTTAGGGCTTCTCGCTGTATATTCCTTTTGAGGCAGCAAACTGGGGGTCCCTCCAACATACCTATTGCTGAGAGAAGGCTCCCCTTGAGGTGCTTCTGGAAAGTTGGCATACGTCTTGAGCCTAAGCCAGGGAATCAGCTCTCATCTCGAGACGATTTGGGGTACACGGAGCATTCCTCGAGTTGCTGTGCTGAAGATGGTGTTCCTCTAGACTTGGGACAGTGTTCTCAGGGCGTCTCTGGAGTTGCCTGAAGGAAGTCAAGCCACTGGTCGTGTTTAATGTGGAACGGGGGATGGCTCTGGAGTCAATGCAGGGGAATCGGGCATTATCTCGAGTTGATTTGGGGCACATGGTGCTGCTTTGCCTTGATGGGGTGACCTCAGGATCCGTCTAGACATGTGACAGTGTTCTTGTGGACTGTCTCGAGATCCATTAAGCAAGTCGAAGCTTCTGACTTGTTTGATGGGGATCACGGAATTGCTCTGCATGCACTGCAGGAGAATCGGGCCTCATCTCGCCTCTAGGGGAAAGTCTCATGGTTTTTCTCGACTTGCGGCGGGGACCTGGGGTATGTACTCGGGTTACGGCGGGGATGGCCTTCAAAACTCGTGTTTATTCAGTGACGTCAGAACTCCTGTCCAGTAACGAGAGACAGCTCAGGAATCTCATCGAGGCTTGGCGGGGCACAAGGGACGCTTCTCCACTTGAGGCAGGGCACCCAGGAACGTTTCCAATAGCCACAGGGATTTTGGGATTCCTATAAATATTTTAGAGGAGTCAGGCATCGTCACCTTTTGAAGCAGTGAACTCCGCGTGCCTCTGGAGGTGACAACGGGATGTGAGGCATTCCGTCAAAATGAGGTAGGGACCTATAGCTTTCTCTAAGGCCTCCACAGGGGATTCAGACATCCCTTCATTCTGTGAGATGAAAGACGAGCCTGTATTCAAGCCACTGCAAGGAAAGCCGGCCTCCTTTCAAGTTAGGGCTTCTCGCTGTATATTCCACTTGAGGCAGCAAACTCGGGGTCCCTCCAACATACCTATTGCTGAGAGAATCCTCCTCTTGAGTTGCTTCTGGAAAGTTGGCATACGTCTTGAGCCTAAGCCAGGGATTCAGCTCTCATCTCGAGACGATTTGTGGTACACGGAGCATTCCTCGAGTTGCTGTGCTGAAGTTGGTATTCCTCTAGTCTTGGGAGAGTGTTTGCTGGGCATCTCTGGAGTTGCATGAAGGAAGTCTTGCCAGTTGTCTTGTTTAATGGGGAACTGGGGATGGCTCTGGAGTCAATGCAGGGGAATCGGGCCACATCTCGGGTTGATTTGGGGCACATGGAGCTGCTTTGCGTTGCTGGGGTGACCTCAGGGTCCGTCTAGACTTGTGACAGTGTTCTTGGGGACTGTCTCGAGATCCATTAAGCAATTCGAAGCTCCTGACTTGTTTTATGGGGATCACGGGAATACTCTGCATGCACTGCAGGGAATCAGGACTCATCTCGCATCTAGGGGGAAGTCTCATGGTTTCTCTCAAGTTGAGCGGGGGACCTGGGGTATCTTCTCGAGTTACGGCGGGGATGGCCCTTCAAAACACGTGTTTATTCAGTGCCGTCAGGACTCTTGTCTAGTAACGAGGGACACCTCAGGAATCTCTTCGAGGCTTGGCAGGTCAAAAGGTATGCTTCTCGAGGTGACGCAGGACACTCAAGGACCCTTTCCAGGAGCCACAGTGATTTTGGGATTCCTATCAATATTCAAGAGGAGTGAGGCATCATCACCTTTTGAAGCAGTGAACTCTGCGTGCCTCTCGAAGTGTCAATGGCATGTGAGGCATTCCGTCAAAATGAGGCAGGTACCTAGAGCTTTCTGTAAGGTCTCCACAGGGGATTCAGACATCCCTTCATGCTGTGAGATGAAAGACATGCCTGTATTCAAGCCACTGCAAGGAAATCCGGCCTCCTTTCAAGTTAGGGCTTCTCGCTGTATATTCCACTTGAGGCAGCAAACTCGGGGTCCCTCCCAAATACCTATTGCTGAGAGAAGCCTCCTCTTGAGGTGCTTCTGGAAAGTTGGCATACGTCTTGAGCCTAGCCATGGAATCAGCTCTCACCTCGAAACGATTTGGGGTACACGGAGCATTCCTCGAGTTGCTTTGCTGAAGTTCGTATTCCTCTAGACTTCGGAGAGTGTTCTCGGGGCATCTCTGGAGTTGCCTGAAGGAAATCAATCCACTGGTTGTGCTTTAATGGGGTATGGCGGATAGCTCTGGAGTCAATGCATGGGAATCGGGCCTCAACTCGAGTTGATGTGGGGTACTTGGAGCTGCTTTGCGTTGCTGGGGTGATGTCACGGTCTGTCTAGACTTGTGACAGTGTTCCTGGGGACTCTCTCGAGATCCATTAAGCAATTTGAAGCTGCTGACTTGCTTGATTGGGATCACGGGAATGCTCTGCATGTACTGCAGGGAATCAAGCCTCATATCGCATCTAGGGGAAGCCTCATCGTTTTTCTCGAGTTGCGTCGGGACCTGGGGTATGTTATCGAGTTATGGCGGGCATGGCCCTTGAAAACACGTGTTTAGTCAGTGACGTCATGACTCCTGTCTAGTAATGAGGGACACCTCAGGAATCTCTTCGAGCCTTGGCAGGGCAAAAGGGATGCTTCTAGAGGTGAGGCAGGGCACACAAGAACCCTTTCCTGTAGCCACAGTGATTTTGGGATTCCTATCAATGTTCAGGAGGAGTCAGGCATCGTCACATTTGAAGCAGTGAACTCCGTGTGCCTCCCGAGGTGTCAAGGGGATGTGAGGCAATCCGTCAAAATGAGGCAGGGACCTAGGGCTTTCGCTAAGGTCTCCACAGGGGATTCAGACATTCCTTCCGGTTGTGAGATGAAAGACGAGCCTGTATTCAAGACACTGCAAGGAAACCCGGCCTCCTTTCAAGTTAGGGCTTCTCGTTGCATATTCCACTTGAGGCAGCAAACTGGGGGTCCCTCCAACATAACTAATGCTGAGAGAAGCCTCCCCTTGAGGTGCTTCTGGAAAGTTGGCATACGTCTTGAGCCTAAGCCAGGGAATCAGCTCTCATCTCGAGACGATTTGGGGTACACGGAGCATTCCTCGAGTTGCTGTGCTGAAGATGGTGTTCCTCTAGACTTGGGACAGTGTTCTCAGGGCATCTCTGGAGTTGTCTGAAGGAAGTCAAGCCACTGGTGGTGTTTAATGTGGAAATTGGGATGGCTCTGGAGTCAATGCAGGGGATTCGGGCATTATCTCTAGTTGATGTGGGGAACATGGTGCTGCTTTGCGTTGATGGGGTAACCGCAGGATCCGTCTAGACATGTGACAGTTTTTTTAGGGACTCTCTCGAGATCCATTAAGCAAGTCGAAGGTCCTGACTTGTTTGATGGGGATCACGGAATTGCTCTGCATGCACTGCAGGAGAATCGGGCCTCATCTCGCCTATAGGGGAAAGTCTCATGGTTTTTCTCGACTTGCGGCGGGGACCTGGGGTATGTACTCGGGTTACGACGGGGATGGCCTTCAAAACTCGTGTTTATTCAGTGACGTCAGGACTCCTGTCCAGTAACGAGGGGCAGCTCAGGAATCTCTTCGAGGCTTGGCAGTGCACAAGGGACGCTTCTCGAGGTGAGGCAGGGCACCCAAGGAACCTTTCCAATAGCCACATGGATTTTGGGATTCCTATCAATATTCAAGAGGAGTCAGGCATCGTCACATTTTGAAGCACTGAACTCCGCGTGCCTCTCGAGGTGACAACGGGATGTGAGGCATTCCCTCAAAATGAGGCAGGGACCTAGAGCTTTCTCTAAGGTCTCCACAGGGGCTTCAGACATCCCTTCATGCTGTGAGATGAAAGACGAGCCTGTATTCAAGCCACTGCAAGGAAATCCGTCCTCCTTTCAAGTTAGGGCTTCTCGTGTATATTCCACTTGAGGCAGCAAACTCGTGGTCCCTCCCACATACCTACTGCTGAGAGAAGCCTCCTCTTGAGGTGCTTCTGAAAAGTTGGCATACGTCTTGAGCCTAAGCCATGGAAGCAGCTCTCACCTCGAAACAATTTGTGGTACACGGAGCATTCTTCGAGTTGCTGTGCTGAAGTTCGTATTCCTCTAGACTTGGGACAGTGTTCTCAGGGCATCTCTGGAGTTGCCTGAAGGAAGTCAAACCACTTTTGGTGTTTAATGTGGTACGGGGGATGGCTCTGGAATCAATGCAGGGGAATCGGGCCTCATCGCGGGTTGATGTGGGGTACTTGGAGCTGCTTTACATTGCTGGGGTGACCTCAGGGTCTGTCTAGACTTGTGACAGTGTTCCTAGGGACTTTCTCGAGTTCGATTAAGCAAGTCGAAGCTCCTGACTTGCTTGATGGGGATCATGGGAATGCTCTGCATGGACTGCAGGGAATCAGGCCTCATCTCGCATCTAGGGGAAGTCTCATGGTTTTACTCGAGTTGCGGCGGGACCTGGGGTATGTTCTCGAGTTACGGCGGGGATGGCCCTTCAAAAAACGTGTTTATTCAGTGACGTCAGGACTCCTGTCTAGTAACGAGAGACACCTCAGTAATCTCTTCGAGGCTTGGCAGGCAAAGGGATGCTTCTCGACGTGAGGCAGGGCACCCAAGAACGCTGTCCTGTAGCTAAAGTGATTTTGGGATTCCTATCAAAGTTCAAGAAGGGTCAGGCATCATCACATTTTGAAGCAGTGAACTCTGTGTGCCTCTCGAGGTGTCAACGGGATGTGAGAAATTCCTTCAAAATGAGGCAGGGAACTAGCGCTTTCTCTAAGGTCTCCACAGAGGATTCAGACATTCCTTCCGGTTGTGAGATGAAAGACGAGCCTGTATTCAAGACACTGCAAGGAAATCCGGCCTCCTTTCAAGTTAGGGCTTCTCGCTGTATATTCCTTTTGAGGCAGCAAACTGGGGGTCCCTCCAACATACCTATTGCTGAGAGAAGGCTCCCCTTGAGGTGCTTCTGGAAAGTTGGCATACGTCTTGAGCCTAAGTCAGGGAATCAGCTCTCATCTCGAGACGATTTGGGGTACACGGAGCATTCCTCGAGTTGCTGTGCTGAAGATGGTGTTCCTCTAGACTTGGGACAGTGT